GACTAGGATAAATTTAGATTAAGATTTAGAACTTGAATGCACTAGGTCCACTACTACGTAATAAATGAGATCAAATCTTACTGTGAGAATTCATCCAAGTCAAGATCTCCATCTCGAGATTCCATTCCAGCAACTTTGTTTCCCGACCTTCAAGAACGTTTTACAGGCGAGGTTCCATTAGTATTTAAAAAGACAACAGAAGAAATAGTAGATCGAGAAAAAAATTAAAGATAAAGGAAAAGTACTTTTTCGCCATGGGTCTTCTATAAGGCACCCTCTCATCTTCCACATTTCTCATGTCCTCAAATCTAGTACTTTTATTAAATATGGGTCGACTCTGCAAATATTAACTTCAACATGTCAGGAAATGCCAATTCTGTCCCATACTTTAAAAGGTTGGACATTCAACGAACTAGGCAAATCAACAACAGGAGCCAGTCCAACAAATATATAGTCTTCCTTCCCTAGGGAGCATAATCCCAAGCCGGAAAACATTGAGAACTCTTTGAAATAAAAACAATTCATGGTCATATAATTAAATTGGAAGTGACAGGCATTGCTCGAAACAACCTCTATCACAGTGTATAGGGAAAAAAGTAAGGAATAATTCCCAATTATACATAAAATGACCCCCACAGTAGCATACTTGTACTCTTCATCTTGCAACTCTCTACTTTCATGATAAACAGGGAATATGTCCTTCTAGGAAGTATCACGATAGAACTGCAGAGGGGAAGGAAAAGGTAAACTTACCCATTGATCTACTAAATCTTTTGCAAGTTTCCGATTGGATGTGGTTTCCTCATCAGATTTTGATAGAAACATAATAACCTACAAAATGTACATCATAACCAAACTTGTTTCCGACTGGTAAAAAGGGGGAAAAAAAATAAGAAAGATCAGGAGTCAAGAAAATCGCTAAAAGTAAACCTCACACTAACCTTCCCAAGGCCACTCTTCTTCAGCTGCTCTCTTCTATCATATTGTTCTAGATCTATTGGAAACTAAGGAAAAGAAATACAGTGTTGGGCGTTATAAGAATAACTTGAATGACCACTATATCATAGGATGTTAAAAGAATAGGAAACCTATTTACATCAGTCAAAATCTTCAATATTGCTTCCCGGATATTTATATTCGGCAAACTCCCATCGGGCAGAGGTTCAAGCCAATTCTTTAGAAGGGTTAGCACTCCATGATCCAAGAATTCTTGTTGAAGCTGCTTTCTATGAAAGATGACCAAAATTTATACGATAAACATATAAAATAAAAGATAGAAGACTGCATTACTACTTACTTCGAAAGAACATCAGTAAGAAGTGGTAGCTTCTTCAGTTTATTGACAGCAGGTTTCCCCTGCCTGTTAAGGTCTGCATCCTCTTCGGCAGTGACCTCAAGCTCGGCCATGACATTCTCCACAAGCAATGCTATTTCCGCAGGACTTTTCTCATTCTTCTTCTTCTTCTTACCCATCTTGAAGAGATCATTAATTTCATCATCTTCCTCACCTTCCTCCGCCTATTAGAATCCAGATACAAAAGTAGGTGATTGAAGAAAAATCTAGGCCATTAATTAATATCTAAGCATATTCAGATATAGCTATTATTTGACTATTTCAAAAGAAATAAAATGCAGATCTTCAGACAAAGAAGGAGCTCAAGTTTTAACAAGTTCATATAGTTCTTCAATTATGCAGTTCTACATATTGAAATACGCAGTTCGTCAGTTAACTAACAACCATGAAACAGTAAAACATTTAATTCATAACATTATGTTGTCCAAAGAAAAAAAAAATACTGACCTCGGGAGCATAGCGGGGAGAACGTGGTTCATCATCACTTCCATACCGGTCAGCTGGATCTACACCACTATCATCTATAAAATTATCATCATCTACTGTTCTGGTACCCTCATGGTCATCCTATTACATTAACAGAAAACAAAGTTTACAAACATTGAAAACCTAAAAAATGTTGATTCTGCACAAATAAAAAAAAATGAAAAAAAATAAATAAATAGGAGAGGGCATATAATAACAAGAGTACAATACCCCACCACCTCCTCTGATTACATTTCAATGCTGAGAAGATCAAATTGCATAAGTAATCACTATGTACTTATACAACAAAACAAGAAAAATAAACTAATTTTTATTGGAAAAGTAAGCCTAATTTGGGGGAAATGGCACTCTAATTTCTAATACTAAATACTGAAGAAAATAAATATTTCATTCTAAGCAGAATTTGAGGGGAAAAAATCAAAATCAAAATCAAATAAAAGATTATGCAGAGTTCTTACATCAGAACCGCCACCAGCAATAGTCTCCCACATCTCCTTGACATCCCCATCTTGATCCTTCAACCCTTTCCCTGAGAAGGCTTTCTTGGACAATCTACTCTTGCCTCCGCTACCACTTCCAAATTTTTTCTCAGGTTTGAATCTCTTCTCCATTTTTCCACTACTGATCCCCTTCTTCCTTTTCCTCTCCTCCGATCCCTCCCTCACAAACTGGCCCGCCGCATCATCATAACCATCCGCCAAATTAGATGGCATTGTTTCCTTACCAGCCAAACTCTTTTTGATCAACCTCTTCCTAGGCCTGGCCTGGGGCTCCTCCGCATCATAGACTGGAGTCTGAGATCGCTGCCGTCCGCCCCAATCACCAATATCCTCATCTAATAGTTCGTCAGGATTGTACGGTTCAGGGGATTGCTCACCGTCTGACTGTATGTGGTCAAAGTCCATCAATGGTTCACCATCCTCGTCACGGTACCTGATACAAACAAAAACCTTACAGAAAAAAGAAACAAATCACACTTAAAAACCCTAATTCAATAATGTCAAGTGCTCACGGATTGTCTTCGTAACCCATTGACGATGATGAAAATTGCACGCAGAAATAAATGAAGCAGTAAACCCGATCGTCAGAAGAGAAAACACGAATTGATCTCGATCAAAGCTGAACCGCAACAGATACAACTTTGCAGCCGATCGGAGACGAAGATATTGAGTGACGCATTTTGCGATGGGCGAACCAAACAAAAACATCCGTAATTCAACATTCCATTCGATAATGGTGAAACAAAATTGGGTATAGCGGTAAATAGCATAAAAATAACAATAATACCAATAACAAAATCAATAAACCAAGAAAACATGCCCAGAAAGATTAGGAAAAGCTTCAAAACAAACCTAACAAAGGCGAGCTTCGGGATTGCAAACGAGAACGAGATTGAATAACGGAAATGCTTTTGGGAGAACGAACGGATGGTTGCTCTCCAAGTGCGAATGGAGGCAAGAAGACGAGGGAAAGAGAAGAAGGCTTCCCGGGTTTATTTAAGGGTTTCTCTCTATTTTTTTTATTTTTTAATTAATTCGTAAATTTGAACGAGATGAGAGTGCGTTAAGCTCGAGATGACGTAAGAGAAGGCCCTATTCTTTTGTTTTTATGAATATTTAATTTTCTATTTATTATTTTAAAGTATCGAAATAATTTTAAGAAAAAAAAAATACGATTTAATTTAATAACCATTTTAGGCCTTAAATTTCCATTAAGACAAAAAAAAAATCAAATAATTATAAACTTTGCCCTTTTTCTACAACTAAAATATTATTTTAAAAAAATTAATGTGATTAAAATATGAGAAAATACGCCTAATTTTAAAAATTAAATAAATAGTTTTAAAAGTAAAAAAATAAATAGAAATTAAGAGAATGGACATCCGAGTTCATATGAGTATGATTGCTAAACATGAGATAGTTCAAAACATTACCTCCACAATAAATTATCGAGAAAGACGGGCACAATGTAGCTGATAGATTAATATTGTTTTATACAACGTAGAGAAATTCCAAATTTAATTTTAATTTATATAAACGGGCTATTAGGATCATATAAACTGGTTTGAACTTATATCTGGTGGTTATTAGAGAATACACGTTATATCGATATTACGTGAAGATGTTAATACTCGAACTAACAATACCTGGATGGATAAGCATATTACTGCTTGAGTTACGTAGACATTTAATCAATGTTAAAATTCAACTAGACAAGGAACTGTAAAAAGAAAAATGTGTTGATGACTATTTCGCCCCGCTCATTTGTTGAACTACTTTAGCCAAGTGGTTGCGAGCTGGAGCTGCCGCCACAACATATGGTTATAGCCATAGAACTCCAATAGAGAGAACAATAAGGATAACGAGCGCAGAGCTAGCTAAGAGGACGATAAGAGCAGTGGACAAGTGCTTGGTAGTCCAATAGTTATACTAAGCAAGTACGAGAAATTGACTCTGCTTCCAACAAGTTTATGGAGAACAAGTTTAAGGGTTCGATTATTGACGATAGTGACGATATTGATGATAATAACGCAACTATTATTTGATAGAGATACTTTAATTTCATATAATAATTATTAATTCTTAAATTAAAGAAAAAAAGACTTCACTGCCCAGTGTCACAATCGCACTTTTAATGGCAGCGGACTTGCGATTGTGCGGCACTCACTTTCGAACGACAAGTGAGCTAAGCCAATTTGTTCTTGCGTCACCTATGGCCAAGCGACATATGTTCAAGCCTCTAGCCTCGGTTTTAAGAGAAGGTTTTAGAAAGCAAGGGCAGAGAGAGATTTTCGAAAAAGAGATTTTTGGAAGAGACGTTATATAAGCAAGTAAGAGAGAAATAACTATAAACTTGAGTCGGGAGAAGTTGACAATGAATCGTATCTCCTAGTACATTTTGAAACATTTCATGTCTGACAAGCATAGACATGATATTTCTGAAATGTCATACTTCCTAGAAATACAAAACACTATAATATGAAAAGAGATAAAGGGTTGGGCTTGTTATGGACAACATGCCTTGGACGAGCATGACCGTGTCCCAGGTTCAAATTAGGACCATCAGATTCGCGGGGAAAAAAGGTTGTTCACGTGAGAAAATTTAATACATTGTGGTTAATTAAGGGTTTCGAAAAAGAAAAAAGAAAATAAAAAAGGGTTTCGAATCTTTCCACACGTTCTCCAGAAAACAGTGAAAAACGTCAGCGACGACGTCCGTCGAGGTTCGAATCCCGGACTCTGCTCCGTGGATTATCGGGAATCCTGTCTCTGGTAACCCTCAAGGTCTTCAATCTTCAAGCTTTAGAAAATTTTGTTTCAAATTTCTCCTACTTTCGTAAGTTCTACTCCCAATTACGCCATTATGTACATTCTGATTATTCTTTGCATCACTTTTGCTGGTCACGAGATGCTCTTCTCGCAATTTAGCAGCTTAGAAATCCGTCGCTTGTTGCGTTGAACTTTATCTGAATTTCTCTATTAATTTCGCTATATTTCGTGTTAAACTGGCAGTAGTCGGAACAAAATGTTAAGTGATAGCTGAACTTTCGTGCATACTTGCAACGATTTCTTGAAGTCTAACTTTGTCTTTGCTTGCAATCTGTGCCTCGGTCTATTAGTTTCTTTATTTTTTTTCCTAGTATGCCCAAAATCCGGAAAGAATTGAAAATCTGGCTCTATGGTTGTTATTATTTGTTTGGATTTATCGGAATCACTGAAGGTAATCATCCACCGTTTTCATTAATTTGATCATAAAATTTGATGGTAAATGGAAATTAGCATATTTGGGTGCAATCAGACAGGAAATATTGAAGTTGTTGAATATTAAAAGGGAACCCAATTATATCACTCGAAATGCAACTAATCTTTTCCCCTTTGGAATAGAGGTTCTGAAAAAATCTGGGTGGGTTCAATCATTTATCAATAAATTTACTATTGAATCTCATGACGATGTTTAATTCCTTACAGTTGAAACTACACTGTGGAAAAAAGTACTTTTCTCTCCTTCATTTATCCATTATATTCTTGCTATTCGTCTCCATCTTTATCTTTCTTTAGTCAGGTTTTCCAGATGTTCCACCTTCACTTTTGACAGATTTAATTTTTAATTATATTAATGGAAATTGTCCTGTATGCAAAATGGGCATTGGAAGACCTGATTTATGGATTTACCCTTTTGCTCTGAAGTTTTGTGGGAAGTTTCTGGAGCTTTTTGATGTTAGTTCGATATTGAGATGGAGTAACGATGACATGATGGACAAGCTGATTGTCTATCCCCCTTTGTAATAGAGGGCAGTTTCTCTGGCAAGTGCGTTTACTACTTGCATTAATTGGAATTTCGGTTAGAAAATAATATGGGAATTTCAAGGGCATGAGAAATCTTGGGAAGAGACTTAGAGGGAAGCTCACTCCAATATCTCCCTTTGGATGTTATCTACAATTTTTCCGTGATTTCTATTGTTTTTTATTCTAAACAACTTGAGTTCCTTCATCTCACTTTCCCTTTTATATCACCAATCAACCCAAAAGTTTTAAGCTGATAGGTTATAGTAAAATTATTTATATCACCCCAAAACAACTTTACAAGGGTTCGAACATCGGACCTCCTACTCTAATACCATGTTAAATCACCAAGCTGATGGGATATGGTAAATTTAATTATATCAACAATTCATCACCTACCCTCTTGTTTTGTGTGTGTGTGTGTGTGTGGAGGGGGGGTGCTTTTTTTATGTGTTGCCCTCTCTTTTGTCCTTAGCATGTGGAAGCCACTACTTTCCTTCAAAGAGTAAAATTTGTTCAGTTTCATTGGATAAGCTCGTGTGTATGTCTAGCCGTTGACCCAATACGGTGAAAAAAGGTCTAAATGAACTTTGTCACTTCAAGTTGGTCATCATTTATCTCCAATAGGCAGATCGTCAGTTTAGTCTCGAGTGTACATGAAGTGATGGAGTAAAGGCAAAAGAAGAAGATAGCTTGGGAAAAGCTTACAATGCACGCACACTATACATGTACACATGTATGCATATATATATGTTTTGCCTCCATATTAATAGATAAGTAAGGCTTAAGGACAGTATTGAATCTCTTGTACTTACATCTATAACATGGACACCAAATCTATATTTTCATAAAATGTAAACCAAGAGGGAGAATTTTCGCTTCCAGATGGCTTAGACAAGGTAGGTTCAATTCAAGCCAACTTGAGTAGCTTTTTTAAAGCTCTTTTGGCTGTAAGGTTGATGCTTCTCCTTCCCTCTATTTGTTGGGTTGAGTATAGTATTCGTAAAAAAGAAAAAAAAAAAAAAAAAAAAA